CACACACACACACACACACATACACACGCGCACACACACACACACAAATGTTATATCTGCTCTATCAAAATAGTCAGATTTTTCGGAGTCTTTATCAAGACATTTGAAGAATCTGCTTTGCTTTATCAAGTTTGACCCGGGAGCCCTCTAGGGCCTGACACAAAACAAAAGATCTGATTCTTCAATAGGCAATTAATGCTTTCTGGTTGAATAAGACACTGTGACTTAGAAAATCAAACACAATTATTTGATTTTGATAGATTTAACAAAGTTGTACCAACATGGTAGGCTCAGATAAGATACGTTAAACATTTTTGGCTGGATGTAACAGAAAATCATCATACGAAGATTCAGTATCAAAACAGAGATGGAATCATTACGTTTAGGGACAAATTGGGTAAATTTGTCCTTCGATAAAGGAAACTCTTGGCGCCCTTTGAGTGCATAAAGCCGTATCAAAGGAGTATTTGACGAAACTTTAAGCAGCGTGCACTGGGTATTAGAAACAAATTATTCGTCTCTACCGCTCTAGCGGTTTTTTGCTGTTGTTTTTTAGTACCCCACAGACGACAACAATCGTAAAACAACATGGCGGGGCTTTTTGGCGTACCGGAAGTAGCTTAAACTCGACAACACACTGTCTCGCTTCAGCGAAAGAGGAGAGCTCGATATCATTTTCCCGGTATCGATTCTCATGGTGAAAAATCTAAAGCATCGAAGTGAACCCGAGAAGTGAGTAGAAGAGGTGGGATTACAGTGGCGACTGATACAGGAGGGCGTGTCGATAAAACGGATTTCTTTCAGTTTCCTGCTCGTTGTTTTATCGTCTCTTGTGTTGTTGCATTTTTTAAAAAACTCATCCATAGTTTTGTTTGTTAAAACTCATCCATCGTTGTATTTTTAAAACTCACCCATTGTTTTGTTTGTTAAACTCATCCCTTGTTTTGTTTTTAAACGTTATCTGGTTTTTTTTGTTTTTATTATAACAATCATTCTTTTTTTTCTACAATGGCCTTTATTTGTTTGTTGAGTTTGGTGGTTTCTTTTGTTCGCTGAGCGCGATGAGGAAATTGAATTGGTGTGGTCTGATAGGCAGGGAAGGGAGAACAATAAAATAATGCTTTTACGGCCATGTGTGGGTGTGTGGGTGGGTAGGTGTGCTTTTTGTATGTGTGTATACTTCTGTGTGTGTGTGTATGTGTGTGTATGTGTGTCTGCGTGTGTGTGAATGTGTGTGTGTATGTGTGTGTATGTATGTGTGTGTATGTGTA